CTATACCAGGATGCTTTAGGTAAGGAGAGGGGTTATCACTGATGCTCTGGTATCCAAGATTCATCTCTCAAACCTGGGTCTCAGATGAAGTTCTGGCAAGGGACAGAAGGTATTTTTCACCTGCTGTGGGATTCACCTGCAATCGGGAGCCACTAGCCTTTCATTATCCCTGGATGTCTAGAGAGAATCCCTTTACCTGCTGGGAATGGTGGGTCTGGGAATCACAGAAGGGGAGTCTGGGCTGTCTGTAGCTGATGGGAATCACAGGAATGGGCTGAACCAGGATAAGGAGGCCAAACTGGGGGTTTGCCAGGAGCTACAAGAACATCATTCCCAATTAAGTCATATGGTTCTCTGTCAAGAATCATTATCTAGTGCTGGCTACATGGCTCATCAGTTAAGAGAATTGACTGTTCTTCCAGAGCACCCACATCGCAGCTAACAATTTAACTCCAGTTCCAATGAGAATCTGATGCCCTCTTCTGGCTTCCATGGGCACTGCACACACATGGAACACAGACATACCCACAGGCAAAACTCTCATGCATATAAAATAAAAATAATAAATCTCGAAAAAAAATTTGATCATTTAGTGCTAGTGAGATGGCTCAGAGGGTAAAAGATGCCTGCCACCAAGCCTGAAAGTCTCACGGGACCCACATGTAGAAAGAAAGAAAGAAAGAACGGGCTTCCAAAAGTTGTCCTCTGACTTCTGCAATCCATGGTACATGTGCTTGCCTCCTCCCTGCGCCCCCCACTATTAGTAATAATAATAGATACGGCCTGCCAGGCCGTGGTGGCGCACCCCTTAATCCCAGCACTCAGGAAGCAGAGGCAAGAGGATCTCTCTGAGTTTGAGGCCAGCCTGTTCTACAGAGCAAGTTTCAGGACAGCCAGGGCTACACAGAGAAACTCTGTCTCAAAAAACCACAACAAAATAGAGCCTGTTAGGTGGTATAGTGGGTAAAGGAACTTGCCACCAAACCTGATGACTTGAGTTTGATCCCTGGGACCCACAAGATGGAAGGAGAAAATTGATTCCCTCAAGTTGTCCTCTGACCTTCACACCTGCACTGGAACTAATGCGCCCCTCCCCAATGGGCATACAAAAGATATAGATAAATGGTGTGATAATTTTTGGTTTTAAAGTGTCATTATTAATCCCAGCACTCAGGAGGCAGAGGCAGGCGGATCTCTGTGACTTCGAGGCCAGCCTGGTCTCCAGAGCGAGTGCTAGGATAGGCTCCAAAGCTACACAGAGAAACCCTGTCTCGAAAAACCAAAAAAAAAAAAAGAGTCATTATTGAGAGTGGAATGATTATAAAGGAGCCAGGCTTGCTCAGTGAGAAGAGGAAGGCACAGAAAAGTCTACCTCAGCTGTAAACACTCTTTCTTGGGGCCTGGGCTTTCCCTTAATGGAGGCTGGTAGGGATGGGGCCCTCTGATGAAGGAGAAAAGGGGAAGGAGGTGTCTGGGGACACAGGGGCGGGGCTAAGAGCAGGAAATGAGCTGGGAACCACCATCACCCTCCCTTCACTGCAGGCACCACAACCAGAGAAGGGGACAAAGAGGAAATGACAGATTGGGGTGGGGTGGAGTGGGGGGGCAGAATCATGCCCCTTTTTGTAAGTCACTCAGTGTGCTGACAACAAACTAGGCAGTGTAGTCAAGATAGCTCAATTTCAAATCAAATTAAGACATGGTTCGGAATGCTTGCTAGGCAGAGTGGTGAGCCAGGGGTTGTCCTTGGGCTTGCTGGTTTCCAAGCCGACTGCAAAGTAAGCCAGGGAAGGAGCTGAGGAAGCTCCAGGCAGTGCCCACACCTCTTTTTATTGCAGCTTCTACTCCCAACTTCAAACCAGGGCTTAAGCCATCTCCTTCACCTTTCCTGTGTTCCCCACATTGGCAGCTTCTCCCCCTGCCTTCTACCACAAACCTGTTTCTTCTTTGCAAGTGATCTAAGGAAGAGGGGACTCCTTCCCTCACCCCCTTCCTGTGGCCCAGCAAAGGTGCAGAAGGGCCAGGTCCTTGTCCTTTGGTGCTGTTCTCCAGCAAGGATGCCTCCCTCCTCTCTCCCCAGACTATATCCTCAGACACACTGGGCCCATTCCCACCTGTGCCTCCATTTTTTATTCTACACCACGATCCCTTCAACTGCTCTTCTGACACAGGACCTCCATTCCCACCCTCTGTCCCTGTCTTGATTCCCTCACCTGATTCATCCGCCTCTCTAGACTTTCCAAATGTCACCATCCTCTCCCCCTTGGAGTTCCCATCCTCACCCTCTCAGTGACCTGTCCCCTGACTATTACAGAAGCCAGCCTCTCGGCCTTCATCGAGCCACATTTCCTGTCTTGTCTGTGCACAGGTTTTCACGGATGCTGACCCTGGGCCACTGGTCCCTAGAAGCTGATTCTGCCCAACAGACCAAATCAAGCAGGAGAAGACAAGCTTGGTGATTGGCTGGCAGACCACCCACCCGCCCCCCCAGCTGGCCCCTGCTCCTGTTGGCCTGCTTACCGTCCTGGCCTGAGTGCTGTAGATGCTCCTGTAAGTCACACCCAAACACTCGTTCCTTGGAGTAGCCCTTCTTCTTTCCTTTCTGCCGAGACTTCATGGCCAGAGCCCCAGGAATCTGGCCCTACCACCTCGGTCCCCCAAGACCTTTGACCTACCAGTCCCCCATGGAATCCCAGTCAGTAGTTAGGTTTGGCCCAGCCCCAGAGGGGCAGGGCTCCAAACTGGAGGTGGAAGGTGGCCTGGGCAACGGACAGTAGCACTTGCCTCTGGAGCCCCCAGGGCCACACGGAAGTGGATATATAAGAGGAAGCTACCAGAACCCTGGCATTAAGCTGTGTCTCGTGGCCAGGCTGAGCACTAGCCCTTCTCGCCCTGTGCAGCTCTAGGGGGGCCGGAAGCTGTGCAGCTCCTCAAACCCGCTTCCTGTTAGAGCATCTTTGCAACCACAGGGCCTCGGGTGGGGGAGGTAGCTGACATTCACACCCTCATCATTGCTGGGACTCCATCCATTGGTCACAAAGGGAGGTGATGTCAGAACCCTTGGGTGGAGTAATGGTGCCTGGGGTGGGAGTAGGTGGCTGGCATTTCTAGAGACCAAAATTCTTGGGTGGGACAGAGAACCGAGGCTTGCCGGTGAGCAAAGCAGGAAAGGACCGTGCAGAGTATACTCCGGATGCAGGATGCCTCCGATGGCTCGGTCATCTTTGTCAAGCCACGTCACTTCACCGAGCCTTAGTTGCCATACCTTTGAAAATGAGGACACAGACCTGAGGCTTGAGTTTCAGTTTCTTTGTCTGTAAAAAGGTACATGGCTGTCCACCTCACACAGCTGCTGGAAGTTTCCAGTACAGTCAAATTTGAAACACTTTGCAAACTAAGGCACTGGCTTCCCCTAAAGGAGGTCGTGTTCAGCCTCTCCTACCCGAGGGCACTCGGAAATGGCTAAAGGTATTAATCAGACAGAAAAGGTTTTATCTGTTTATTTAAAAACAGAATATCATTTTTATGTACAAATATACATATATTTACATGAAATATACACACTAGGACCCCAGATCCTCAGGGTCCACAAGTCCTGGGTTGGTTGGGAATGGGATGAGAGCCTCTCCTTTAGACCAGATTGCAGGCCACACAAGGTTTACTAAATCTCAGTATTCAGGCTGAGTAGGTTTGGGCAGGCTAAAGAAAAACAAACATCTAACCCCAGGCCCCACACATAGAAAGTGCCAGAAGAGCCCCCAAATTAATGATTTGGAAAACCCTGGGGAAAGGAGCTGTTGTCACCCTCGCCCACAGCAGCTTTCTCTCCTCACCTGAATGCCCACTGTCCCTCGCTACCCTCTGCCCTCTACACAACTGAACCTGGGCCCTTGACACCAAGTCCCAACTCCGCACAGGCACAAAGAACTGCACACACAACTAGGGGCAGGTTTGTGAGCCATGGGAGCCAAGCACCCCATCTCTATTCTCCTCTCCCAGTGTTTATACCTCACACCACTGGTTCCAGACTCCTCCAGCTGTCAGCTTTCTCTGCAGAGCCTCTTCCAGTGAAGGTGCCCTAGCAGAACTTCCCAGAATCATGGGAATTAGGCCCTGCTGTGGGGTCTGCTAAACAGTTTTGCTGAATACCTATGTGGGCTGGCCTCGCTTACACAAGCCCAGTAAAAAATGCACGCGTGTAAATCAAAAAGGGTTTTGTTTGTTTGCTTGCTAAGTTTCTTTTTCTCGAATTAGGGGAGACTGAGCAGAACTCAGGAGGCTCCCTAGGAGGCTAATGTACAGAAGGTATGTATGTCCATGCAGCAGGTAGGCCCATAGGCCACCAGAGGACAGAGGGCTTCTGTAACAGTTCAAGCCTCTGGCAGACCCCTGGGCATCTGCTTCACACTTGCTCCCCAAAGGGTGGGAACACAGCTCCCCCACTTTGGAGGTCAGATTCTAGCTCCAGCTGTGCCCGCACACCTGGATCTGGCCCACAGTCTCCACGTCTCACTTCCAACCTTTGCGTCACTAATACTGCTCTGGGGTCTGAGGAAAATACCTGCATCTGCAGGTAGAGGTCACACATGAGGCACACTACTCACAGGCCACACCCAAGCACTGTTCTGCACACAGCCACAAATCCTGTGGCACATACACCATTCACGTGGGCTCTTAACATGACGGCACAATGCACACCGTATGCCATGGATAGTCACCCCTCCATGCACACACAAAGTGCCATGAATGCACACACACACACACACACACACACAGAGAGAGAGAGAGAGAGAGAGAGAGAGAGAGAGAATGACCTACACACAATGGTGGGAGGCACTCAACCAGTGGAGCCCTCCTGATGAACAGAAGGATTGGAGGTAAAAGTGGAGCAGTCAGTGGGGTGGGAAGTATCTGCAGGCATACTAAGGAGGGGTCCCCTAAGAAGAGTTGAAATCCCCCATGGAAGCAGAAGAGATCAGGCCCGGGGAGGCCAACCAGGGTCAGACCAGGTGCCCTCGCCCATTGATGTAGATGCCATTGCCTGTGGGTTTGGCCCTCAGGGTCCCATTCTCCTGAACAAAATGGTTCATGGCCTGTTTGATGCCTTCATCCTGATCATCCTCTTCTTCTGTCCGCCCAGAGCCTGGAGACAGTAGTTCAGTCTGTGTTTCAATCTCTCTCACTGTGGTCAATGTGGAGTAGCTACGGCCCTCTGGCTCTTCACTCTGGAGACCAAGGGCAGAGGATAAGTCAGGAGTGGAGATCAAGCAGGCAGACACAGTAGGGAAGGGCTGGGGGGTGTTGGGGTCAGAGGTCAGGTAAAGCATGGATAATGGCTATCCCAGAGGCATGGCACGGGGCTTGGAAATTTGGGGGTGGGGAGGGCAAGCATGAGGGCAAGCACACATAGGGATGGGGAGACGGAGAACAAAGGCATAGCAGAAATGGGGGCAGGGATCGCATGTGAGCCAGGGACGATGCAGGGACTGGTGTAGGGGCTGCTGTCACACCACGTCTGGGGCCAGGAGAGGGGCCTGAAGAGAGTCTTGGGGACACCGGTGGGGCCGGGGGGCCTCACCATCACAGAGCAGCTACTGTTGTCCTTGAGACTATCAGGGTGGCCCTCGGCTCTCAGCCCTACACTCTCCTCCGGCTGCAGGGGCCCAGACATAGGGGAGGAGTTAGAAGAAAGCTCCGCCTCCTCCCCTTAGCCTCTTCGCCTCCGTCCTTCACCAGCCTCCTCCCTGATCACCTTTCCCCCAACCCATAGGTCCGTGTGTCTCTGACACAGTCATCTTCCTTCCCTCATTGACTCCCCCAAACCCACCCTGCAACCAGCACGGGTGGTGGATTCCTAGAGCAGCCCCCAACCCAGTGCTAAAAGGGCCTTGCATGGAAGAGTCCCAGCAGCCCCAAAGCATCTATCCCCGGCTAATGGCCCAGCCTCGGCTCAGCTCCAGCTGTGAGTAAGCAGCCAGACCTGGGATAGGGCTACGTTCCTATCTACAGAGGCACTCAGAGCCAAGCAAACCTGTGTGCCCACGCCCCACACATGCACCCAACCTTAGCACACACCTGGCTCCTCGGGTCCGTGTGATGAGAATGCAGCCTCCGGATGGAGTTCTCCCTGGTCAAAGTCAGCTCCTCCTCACTGGGAAAGACATCTCCTTGTCAGGAACTGAGAGCAGCGACAGCCTCCTAAGGTGAGTCTAGCCTGGCTGAGCCTGAGTACCATGGCTGGAGGGTACAATTGCCAAACTCTGTCTGCAACCGAGTATGTGGTTGCAGATAACCATGTGGCTAGAAAGCATGGGTGTGCCACATAGCGCATAGTATGCATAGTAGATGATACCTGGGGAATATGAATTTGTGCTTCTCTCAGGCGTATGCCTGGACCACCCAGCTGTGGTCCAGGTCCCAGGCTTTCCTCACTTTCCCAAAGACATTGCCCAACTCTGGTGAGCAAGCTGTCCAGTTATTAAGCTACCCAGTCTCCTTTCACTTCCGGCTTCATTCCTCTTTGTTCTCAGCTCAGTTCCCACCCCACTCAGTGCAGCCAGGACTCACTATTTCTGGGTCATCTGCTGTGCTTTTCGTCGATGGTATCGGGACATGAGTATCACCACCACCACCAGGAGGCAGAACAAGAGCGCAGCAATCACACCCACGACCACCACTGAGGCCGACACTAGATCCACTTGTTTTCCTGGATCTTGAGGGTCTGCAGGAGACAGGTCAGTGTCTGAGACGTATGCCCAGATCCTTTCTGGATCCACCGCAGACCCCATTGCTACCCAAATGTTATCCTCACAGAACACATCCACGGCTACCTACTCAGCTTAAGTGCACGCTCCATCATCCCCAAAGACATTCTTTGCCATTTCTCTCTCCGTCTTGCTTCCCGTTGCCCACCCCCAGCTCAGGATTCAGCATCCCCATCTTTGCTCCCCCAACCACCGTGCTTACCAAGAACTTCCACGGTGACCTGAGAATCCCTCGAAGAAAGTTCATTGCTGACGTGGCAGACATAGACACCACTGTGCTCCGGAGTCAGCGCTGGAAAGCCCAGAGTGTCCCCTTTCACTCGAACTCCACTAGGCAGAGGTCCATCCAGCCTGAAGGACAGGGAAGCTGAAGGGTGCTGGCTGGGGCAGGCTAAGGCTGCCACCACCCAACGTGCCCAGGCAGCTCTTCATCCCCCTCCCCCATGACGTCATCCAGAGCCTCGGGCTGTTCCCACGGTGCCCCTCCCTACCCTAGGCAGGTCTAGGCAGAGGCCCTTTCTCCCTGCCGCCCAGCCTGACCCGGGCACCCCCACACACACTTGGGGAAGATCCACACGCGTGCCATCCCACAAGCTCCCACAGGCATCACGTCATCCAGCACCAGGTAGCAGGTATACAGGCTACAAAGTCCACACAACAGGACACTCCACTCCTAGCGGGGCTCAGAGGTACCTGGAAACTGGGGCTGCGTGCTCCAACACTATGATATTGCATGGTGGAGTAAACAAACCTAGCCCCAGGTGCCAGGCCACATGTACGGTTCATATGTCCATGTCTAAGAACATGCTTATCATCGGCTCACATACATGGATATCCTACCCCTTTGCAATTCTCTGGGGAGGGGGGAAGTCAAGAACTCTTGAAGGAGCTGGTGGAGGGAATGGCTGTTTCTGAGATGCTGACAATAGTTTTAAGGAGTGTTGGCACAGTAGCAGTCAGTAGAGTCGACTGTCTTTGTCTCACACACTTTTAGCACTCAGAAATACATAAAAGATGGATGTTTAATATAGTTTGAAGTTATTTAAATTTCATAGTTTAAAGTTAGTTTAAGAAAAAAAAAGTCAAAAAGATATATCTACACATCCCCTATGGTAACCACACAATCCCTTGAACAAGCCAGTACTATTTGCTGACTATGCATATTTTTACATTGGTTTGAACATGTGCCCCAGCTCATCTAGTGTTCAGAATATGTGGCCCTAGCTCCTAATGAGTTCATCCTGGTCCTGAAAAGGAAATGGTGCTAGTCCCACAGTAGGCCTTTCTCCAGGCACAGGCCCTTACCTTGTCCAGTTATATGAGGGAGGGGGCTGTCCTTCACTCAGGCATTTGAGTGTAGCTCCTTCTCGGCCAACATGCCATAAGTTTTGGTCCTCAAGGCCCCTCACAGAGGCCTCCGCAAGGACTGGAATGGGAGGAGGGAGGAGGAAGATGAGAAGATGCCTTAATCCATGATTCTTTGAAGACCTTCTGGCCCTACTGGAACAGCCTCTACCTACACCCACAGCTCCTGGCCACATTGGGGGGGGGGCACCCCATCAGAGGTGTGAGCCAGCGAGTCCCCCTTGGGGTAATGGAGTTTCACACTCTTTCTTATCTCCTATGACACTAGCATAGTGCTACTCACAGAGCAGGTGCTCAGTAAATGCCTAACAACCCACCAGTTTGTTCATTTCCTAACAAACATTTGTCGATTTCTTACTTTGTTTTGTTTGTTTGTTTGGGTTTTTTGAGACAGGGTTTCTCTGTAGCTTTGGAGCCTGTCCTGGAACTCACTCTGTAGACCAGGCTGGTCTCGAACTCACAGAGATCCTCCTACCTCTGCCTCCTGAGTGCTGGGATTAAAGGCGTGAGACACCACTACCTGGCCCGATTTCCTGTTTTGTGCCAAACGGTAATGTAATCTGAGCTTTGAAGTCTAAAGCTGGGAACACACTATCATTTACTCTGAACCCTTGTAGGATTTAAAATCTGTGAGATGCTTTGCATTCACATATGCTAATTCTCATCGAAATTCTGTAAAGTTGGTATAATTACACTCATTTGCTGGTGAAGAAAATGAAGTCTAACAAGACTAATTAACTATTGGTAAATAGCAGAGTGGGGCCTTGTCCCAAGGCTGTCTCTAAACCCTAAACTGTATATTTTGCAAACTTCAATTCCATATTTATATTCTGTCCTCCCATCAACTCTGTAAAAATAAGGCAGTCTTTTCTATAAAGCTCACAGAGATACCAGGTAGCATTGGCACACGCCTTTAATCCCAGCACTCAGGAGGCAGAGGCAGGTGGATCTCTGTGAGTTCAAGGCCAGCCTGGTCTCCAGAGTATATTCCAGGATTACACAGAGAAACCCTGTTTCAAAACAAAACAAAACAAATACCAAACAAACAAACAAAAGCTCACAGAGACCACAGTGATTTTCCCAGGATATCTAGGTTGGCTCCCAAGTCATCTGCTTTTGGATTAGACTGTGGACTCCAAGACTCAGATTCAAGGTCACAGTGTCTTAGCACTATTTTCAGAATGTAGGGACATCTTACCCATATATCCCAATACTCACAGGCCACTTGGAGGGTGTGGGTGATCCTCCGGTCCTGGAGCAGGCCAGGGTGAGACACCACACAGGTCAGTGGCTGCCCATTCATGCTTCGGCTAGGCACCAGGTGAAACTCGGAAGTGACGGCTGCTGATCTGGAGTGCTTGAAGGAGCGGCTGGACTGTGTGCCTTTGACCTCTGTGTCCCAGGTCACACTGGGAGCTGGGCTGCCCTCAGCAGTGCAAGAGGCTGCCAACGTCAGGCCCTGACCCTCTTCTAGTGGTGGACCAGGATTCAGTGAAGGCAGGGGAGGCACTGTGGGGAGGGGAGAGGTGTGTGAAAGAGGAGCACAATGCCTGTCAGGAGGCCTCCCTCAGTCTTACCCAGCTGCAAACTTCAGTTCCCTTTTCTCTCTCTCTCTCTCTCTCTCTCTCTCTCTCTCTCTCTCTCGCTCTCGCTCTCTCTCTCTCTTTATTATGTATACAATGTTCTGTCTGCATGTATACCTGCAGGCCAGACAAGGGAACCAGATCTCATTACAGATGGTTGTGGGCCACCATGTGGTTGCTGGGAGTTGAACTCAGGACCTCTGGAAGACCAGCTAGTGTTCTTAACCACTGAGCCATCTCTCCAGCCTGCGCCTCCCCTTTCCTTATCTTACCAATAAAAGTGCCAGATCAATGCTGTAATTTCAAGTGTCTTTACATCTTTTTCACTCTTGGAATTTTTTACAATGTGAATAGGTCATTTTTTTGTTTTTGTTTTTTGAAGCAGGCTTTCTCTTTGTAACAGCTCTGGCTGCCCTGGAACTCACTCTGTAGACCAGACTGTCCTCAAAGGCACAGAGATCTGGCTGAGAACCACCTGCCTTTGCCTCCCAAGTGCTGAGATTGAAGGCATGTGCCACCACAGCCCAGCATAAGTCATTTTTTAAAAAAATAAAAATAATTTTAGAACTAATTGGATACTATCTATGTAATAATAACAATCATAATCACTACTTACTACGTGTCAACTATTATGCTAAATACTTTGCATACATTATCTCATTTAATTCTGCCAACAAACTAGTGAGGTGGGTATTATTATGCCTGTTCTTCAGATGAGAAACCAAAGCTCAGGGAGGGTCAGTGATTTGTTCCAGGTCCTCAGCTCTTAAGTGACAAAGCCTAGAGTCACAGATTTTCTTTTGGGGTGTGTGTGCTGGCCTCAAATTCTCCATCCTCCTGACTCAGCTTCTGGAGCAGTGTAAGTATAGATATGTATCACTAAGCCAGCTTTTTTTTTTACACTCAGATTTTGTTTTGTTTTTTTTCCCTCCAAGACTTATGTTACTGACTTCTACCCAAAGCAAAACCATGAAGACTTTTATTTCTAGCTTCAAAAAAGGCCCAAAGCACAAAACTGAAAAGAGAACTTGACCATAGATCCAGGGTAACCTGCTCACATGGTCTCAGAATGTGGTCTTAGACCACATTCACTGAAGGCCCAGTCAAGAACTGTATTAACCCCTTGCTCACAGATAACCACATCACAGCTGCACCCTCCACATTTTAAAACCATAGAACCTAGGATGGTGAAGGAAGCTTTGCGTTGGTGTCTTTCACAGAATCAGTTAAGTGCAGCTTGGAAAGGGGGGGTTTGTTCTGTTTTGTTTTTTGAGACAGGATTTCACTGTGTGGCTTTGGAGGCTGGCCTGGAATTAGCTCTCATAGATCAGGCTGGTCTCAAACTCACAGAGATCCGCCTGCCTCTGCCTCCCAAGTGCTGAGATTATAGGCGTGTGCCACCACCTCCTGGCCCGAAAGGGGGATTTAAGTAGAGTCTGGTTAAGGTTCTCCACTCTTTAAAAAACTGTTCAGAAGAACAAGCCCATGTTCCAAAAGCACAAAGGTGCAGAGTGAAATTCGGGCCATCAGAAGGACAAGCTTTCTTTCCTTTTTAAAGATTTTAAAATTTTATTTATTTATTATGTATACAACATTCTGCCTCCACGTATGCTTACAGGCCAGAAGAGAGCACCAGATCTCATTACGGATGGTTGTGAGCCACCATGTGGTTGCTGGGAATTGAACTCAGGACCTCTGGAAGAGCAGCCAGTGCTCTTAACCTCTGAGACATCTCTCCAGCCCCCTTGTTTTTGTTTTTGTTTTGTTTTTTTTTCGAGACAGGGTTTCTCTGTGACTTTGGAGGCTGTCCTGGAACTAGCTCTTGTATACCAGGCTGGTCTCGAACCCACAGAGATCCATTATTCCCCAGTTCTTTTTTGGAGAGAATTTATGAATTGAGTGGGAGGTGCGGGATAATCCTCCCTCGCCCCTACAGGGCCTTATCTTTTATTTATTTTTTAAAGATTTATTTATTTATTATGTATCCCTGCAAGTCAGAAGAAGGCACCAGATCTCATTATAGACGGTTGTGAGGCATCATGTGGTTGCTAGGAATTGAACCTCTGGAAAACCAGCTAGTGTTCTTAACTACTGAGCTATCTCTCCAGCCCCGGTCCTTATCTTTTATATCTGCCTATTCTGCCTCTGCCCTATAGTTCTCTTCAGTCTTATCCTACAAGAACCCAC